TTTTCTGTGACCTGTAAACACTACAACCCCCCCCCCCACACACACACACACAATTGGAGGGACCCATTCTTTTGATAACTTGGCTTGTACAGTTGAATATACTTTGTAAACATCTCATTGTGATTGGTTCTTTTTATTGCAATTACTCCTAACACTTAAAAAATGTTAAATGTTAATTTTTTCATCTACTCGAAATATTAGAGGTATATAGTAGGGATGCCATCTTATCAAACCACTTACACAAAAGTGTTTTCTTGTCTTTAATCTGATGCTTTTTAATCTGTGTTACATTTCACTTTGTTTCCTCCTCAGCTGACAACATTGCTGTTCGGCCTGGACCAGATGGATATGGCCTGAGAATTAAGCTGCTGGACTTTGGTGCATGCATTACGCCTCAGGACAGTCCAGACCTATTGGGGCTGACCGCTGCCCACTGCTCCCCTGAACTGTGCACTGTGCTGCTCGATGTGTTTCTGTAGTGTGTATTCCTCTGATTCCATGACTGTAAATGAATTAGATTACTAGCCCAATTGTCCTTTATCTGTAGATGAAAAAATTGTAAATCTCATCCCATTTTTCCTCTTGTTCTGACCACTGCCTATACTCTGCTGGCCTGGTCAAGGTGTCCCTGTGGTAACTGTCAAGGTGTCCCTGTGGTAACTGTCAAGGTGTCTTTATGGTAACTGTCAAGGTGTCCCTGTGGTAACTGTCAAGGTGTCCCTGTGGTAACTGTCAAGGTGTCTTTATGGTAACTGTCAAGGTGTACCTGTGGTAACTGTCAAGGTGTCCCTGTGGTAACTGTCAAGGTGTCCCTGTGGCAACTGACAAGGTATCCCTGTGGTAACTGTCAAGGTGTCCCTGTGGTAACTGTCAAAGTGTCCCTGTGGTAACTGTCAAGGTGTCTTTTTGGTATGCTTTTTAGAACGAAACGCTTTGTTCCTGCTCTCTCCAACACTTTCTGATTTGTCATTCTCTCTGTCCAAGATATTCTCATCATTTTCCTGAGATACAACATCTCTGCCGCTTCTATTCGTTGTTCTATACCTTGGGATGTAGTCCAGCACTCGCTTCCATAAGTGAGAATTGAAAACAGATTAGGATATAGGGGTTATATAATAAAAGCGGCCTTGTTTGGCCAAATCACGAACAATCAATATTCCTTGTTGCCTTCTTTCTTGCTATGAATGAGACTATAAAAATTTGTGGTACACTGAGATGGAGGAGACATAAATGTTGTTTGACTGCCCATGATAACAAATTCCATGTAAGTGCACAGCTTTGAATTACGTGATGTTTATTACAAGATTGACATTTTTAAAGTGTAATGATTTTTGATAAATTTTCTGTTAAATCTCAAATGGTGTATTTGAAAGTAAAGCGTAAAATTTCTTAAATTCTACAAATAAAACCCACAGTATATTGTTTTTTTTTATTAAAGGTAAAGCAAGGACACTCAAAATTTCGATTATCTGTGTGCCAGCGGGATCTGATATTTCAAGAGGCAAATAGGAAGACAAGCTGGAAGTTATGTGATGGAAGGAAGACAAGGGAAATGTTTGATAATGGAAGCTTAAGTCAGTACAGCGATCTCAAACTTTCAAGGGAAGAGAAGTCCAATGTACATTGGAATATGGGACAAAGAAAGACAAGAACCATGGTTCACATTGTCTTTAAAAACACAAAGAGGCCAGAACCTCGCCTATCTGCATACTTATTCAGAAACCCTCTGGATTGGAAGTTTACTCCTTTGGTGTTAGGAGTTTATTTATTAAGAGTTGTTTTCGAAAGATGTTTTATGAAAAGCCACAGTGGCCCTACTAAAGGGGTTTCATTCTAGTGAATTTTCAGACATTACTCTTGATAAATATTCTTCAAGAATAAATGCACAAAACTGAATAAAAATGCACAGTACAAGTTGTTTTTTTTATTTCAAGATTTATGGCATCAATTCTCAGTTTGTTGTCTGGACTTCAAACTGGCTTACACCTTCGCTTCAACAAATTGAGTGGTTACTTTAAGTGAAAATTCTATTTGGAACAAATATTTGATGAGGTGGTTTATTCACAAACATAATTTACCTATTTTGTGTTGAAAGAATATTTAACATGAAGTTAACCCCACCTCTAGTTATTAAAATGTAATTTGACAAAAAAATCTCACTAAGCTAAACAAGCTTTGATTTGGCAAGGACAAAAAAAAAATTCGATCTTAATTTTAATAGCTCATGATCGTTTTCCTCTGATAGGGCCCCATTTTAATTAAAGTAACTGAATTTACACAAGCCCTTTTTGGCCTTCTGGCCAGGACCCCTTTTTTAGGGCCCTCTGAAAGGGAAAGGGTGAAACTCATTAGGATATAAAACTGTGTAGCAGCATTCTCTCATGGTAGAAGATACAAGTGAAAAACAACCCCCTGCCAACATCACTATGCTTAATTTTCTATTTTTTCATTAAGATTTGAGAAAGACAATGGGAAAATAATGCACGTTCACACTAAGTTCATACAGAAATGCCACAGATGCTTAAACACACATTCATGCGAGTACACATTTAAATATGCCTACACACACAAACATTTTCATTACACAAATTCACACATTGTTACTTTCCTGCATTGTTACCCACTAAGATTTTGAATAACAACTCATCACTTTCAGGTCCCTGCATATTCAGTGAGGTTTAAAATAAGCAATTATGTTTTATGTTTCAGTTTCACCAGTTTAGAGTGACAATGCAGGGGAGTAATGATACTAAATATGAAACCCAACGACTCTATTTCCTAAAATGCCAGACAAATTTGGAAATCGCCGTGATTCCATAACTATCAACAGCAAGTATATTAGAGGTAGCAGGGATGAGACCAGTCCTCGCTGAAAATGGAGGAAAATTGGCTGGGGTCCAGGGTACACGATTCACAAGAATGACCCAAATAAACATGAAAAAGTAAGAATTCCGACAAAAGTCGAATAAGTCTCATCAGTGGGTAGCTTGACTTTGGTCTAGAACTACACAGTCTGGGCTTGTTGTGATAAAAAAATATTTCACTTATTAACATAATCACGAATTGACTTGACATTTCAAGGAAGCCAGTAACAACAACATTTTTTCCTCTAAAAATAGTGCCTATATTTTTGTTCCACATCAAAGATTCACACAATATATAAAGTTTCATTTAATTACATAAACAGAGAAATGGTGATTATTAACTTTAAAGAAAGTGAAATTTAAAATCTATCAAAAATCAAAACATAAGTCTAAATGTATAGAAAAACCTAGCAAAAGCAGCAATAGGGGAATATTCTAAAAATCTGATATAAGCATGTAATACGCTAAATGCCCTGAGAATTCATTGATCTCAATCGCTTAAAGCTGCCTTTCAAAGTAACACAGAAAATATTCTAAAATTTGGCAAAATGTAACCTTTTCTTTAAGATATATTAAGAAAACTAATTCTAAACTATAAGTGTAATTCTGGAATGCTGTAAGTACTACCTAAAAATCCAATCCTATTATCTACACACACCATATAAAATTATTTAACATTATCAATGAGAAAATAATTGCTTTTTTACCCTACGGTTATAAAATATAAAGTTACAGAGTAAAACTTAAAACACAAAGGAAAAATTCAAAAAATGTCAGGCATAAGGCTAAATTGTACCAAAATTCAAAATGAGCTCAGTTGCGTGGTTGTCATTTTTTTCTCTCTGGGTGTCCATTTTTCTATATCTTCTTGGCTCGTAGATTGTACCTTCCTCCCGTGCTGCGCGAGGTGCTGGCACCTGAAGAGGGCGCCTGTTTCTATTCTTGTAGTTTTAAGGTAAAAACTACATTCAGTCGTTCAAAGGACGCAAAAGGGACGCAGAAGCATTTACACTGAGACGATGGCGATCACATTTTGATCGGAGAAGGAACGCAGAAAGGACGCCGCCCATGCCAGTATAAAGGGGAGTTAACATGCTGTTGCTCCAGTTTTACATTTTTTACCGATATGAATAATAGGTATTGCTCCACCTCGTGGTCATTTAAGCTGTTCAAACCCCACACAAGATTAAATATTTCCACACTACTTCTTAGTCGATTTAGAACTTGCCTCATTATTACGGATTGTGTGAATGCGTCGATAAAATTCAATTCATTGCACATTTCTATATATTGGAAGAGGGTTCATGGAATAGAATAGTTAAGTCTGTGTTTATAGTGTTATTTTACACTGTTGTGGTTTACGTGAACACCGCTAGCTAGCTCGCTCGCTCTCTCTACTTTTATTTATTTTGTGTATTCACTTATTGTATTTCAGTCTTTCGCTATTTATTATTTCATTATTATAAATCCATTTCTTTCTTTTCACTATTGTTTCACCAGTAACGCAAGCACTACGAGTCATTACATTCCACGGCATTAAGGTGCGTGATCAATAAAGGCAGGACTGAAAAGACATGTTCTGAAACTTTTATTTCGGCGCGTATTCTCAGGTCAGCGTCAGGTAACAAAGCCTGGCAATGTGCATAATACTTTTCCTGCCAGAAAAAACATGCAATGAAAAAATCCTGGTGGTAGTGTCACCAGTTTTCGGAAAATGAATAACAGCCTTCTAAAAGATTTTGAGTATATAAGAGGAGTAAAGAAAATAATAGAGGATCTAAAATATCAATATTGTGCCAGTCCATATAACAAAGCAGAGTTATGTAAAATTAGTGACAATGATCTATACTTTCTTGTGGATGAGCAAGCATTTTTTGAACAGATATTATTACAGGTTAGAGGCTATACCATTGCCTATAGTTCAGCAAAGAAAAAGGAGAAAAATATAAGAATGAAGACCCTGGCTGAAANTTTTAGATTTTAATCGGATTGATTGATTGATAATTGATGTTGGGTATCCTGCATCCAATCAGAAATTGACATTTGTTTATAGTTTTGTGTTGGTTGAGAATTAAGTGAACATTCATTATTCAGGTAGTTACAAATGTGGAGGTAAATAAATAATTTTATTTCTTTCAGAATGAAGAAGAAGAAGAAATCACTAGTTTTGTACTAAGTCCAGATGATCAGGTAAGAATTTCTGGTAAACTTTGGTTGCTGATTTATTAGATTACTAAACAGATGTTTTTCACAGACAATTTTTCTCGACTCTTCTAGACTCTGCACTTACTAGTAGGCAGTGGGCACCACTGGTTGTATGATTCATGGATGCATTAATGGGTCTCTTTCTTAGTGAGGGTCACGTCAAAGGAAACCTGAACTAAAATCCTGCAGAATTTATAAAGTTTTTTTACACACTTTCAGACATTGATAGTTGCTGGCAGAAATTTGCAGCTAAGACAGTGGGAGTGGAAGGAAAACAAGATAGAAAGAACATGGAAGGTAAGCACATATGAAGTAATGTTGATAACAGTAGAAATGGAATTAATGACATTAATGAAATTAAATAAATCTCAGTATTGCGTGCATATTTGTGTAAGTTAAAGATTTGTTTAAAGCTGATATCCTGTTAGAAAAGTCATGCTAGGTTTGCAATTTAAACTTATTCTTTAGGAACCTGTTCCACCCTGATTTGATCTCACAGTGGTTAGTGTAGAGCTTAATGTATCAGGCATAAGGATTGCTTTTGGGACATTTTTCAGTGTTTATGCCCTCTATATCATCCTCTCCTCCCCCCTTTAATTTTCTTCTTTTATCTATTTTACCTATGAACTATAACTTTAACTCTGTCAAAGTCTTCAGGTTTTTACATAATATTTTGATTAATATGTTGACTACAGTCTCTAGTTTATTTCTCTTACATAAGGCAGTGCACAGTGCCCCTGTGACATGTATGGCCTTTGACAGCACCTCCACGCTGGTTGCCACGGGAAGTGCTGACTCCACCATCAAGATCTGGGACATTATCAAACAGTACTGCACTCATAACTTGAGAGGACACACAGGAGTTGTGACGTGAGATATGTCATTGGTTGTCATAGTAATCTTTTGTATCTGATGTAATGAAATGTGATCCATCAGTATGGATTGGTGAAATGTTAGTAAGTCTTAATTACATGTATCTTACTAAATAGAGCGTAGTTTGTCATCTTTCTCAACATATTATTGAATGTTTTAGTAGTATGTAATGGAAGTAAAATAGGTTTTTGTCATTAGTATTCTTGCTTCAAGTTTTGACATTTATAACTGGATCAGTTTGCTTCTTGTTAATCCCTTAATTTCATTTGTAATGTTTATTTTAGAGGTGTTGCCTTCCATCCAGACATTGAGAGAATGCAGTTGATAAGTGCAGCTGAGGATTATAAAATCCGTGTCTGGGACCTCATGAGAAGTATTTGCATTGCTGTCCTTGACAAGCACTTCAGTGTCATCACTGGACTGCAATTCACTGAAGATGGCGACACCTTATACAGGTTTGTCCAAGAGAAACCGCAATAAAATTTCCCACTGCCTAATCTTGATTTTGTTAATGTATTTTCAAGCCTTGGAAGAGTTTTCTTGCTTTATAAACTAAATGTGGCAGAAATGGATTTTAAGGACTGAATAATTTTTCTTTTTTTTTTTTAACTAGTTGTGGCAGAGACAGTGTAGTAGTGGTGTGGGATCTGCATTCCTTTCTCTGCCTGAAGACTATCCCAGTGTTTGAGGTAAACTTCTTGCTTTGAGATTCAAACAGAATTTTGACGTTTACCTTCAGAACATTCCCAACAGGCCATGGGTGTGAACAGATTGTGTTCTTCGTAACTTGCATTTTTACTACAGTGTTCAATATTCAAGTTGTTGCGAGTGCATTTAGTATGATAAGAAGTTTTGTAGTGCAGGTGAAAAAAATTTGATTACCTTATCAGTTATTGGAAACATTTTGCTAGAAATTGATTTATTATTTCAATTATTGTATTGTTTTAGCCAGTAGAATCTGTGTTGCTTTTGTCACCCAATATGGACTATCCCAAGTTGTCAGTGGTAGCAGGGGAACAGCATTTCATAACAGCTGGAAGCAAAGGTAAAGTAAGAGGCTCCCATGTGGAACAGAACTATCAGACAATGAATTTTATAGATACCTGTAATATTATATTTATAGATACAGTTTTACATGTGTAAAATTTTCTGATTATTGTGTAAAATGTTTTTATGTAGATGGCATGCTACTTAGCAAAATTAATTGCGTGTGTGTCTATAATTAACCATGTTTGTGAGAAGTTGACATGCTGTTCTATAATACTGCATTGAATCAAATGGATGTTTGATTCTCTCTCTCTCTCTCTCTTTTTTAGGGAGGAGTAGAGATACAATTTGATGACATAGTTTGTCTATAATTGCTTAAACTTAAATAATTTAATTTCACTCTACTTTTCACCACTGAAAAAATGGTGGTTGAAACATTTAGATTAGTGGCAGAGACAGTGTTTCGCCTAGTAGCGACACAGCTAACTGACTATCTGCATACTCATCCATTTTTTGCAAAGGTTCAATCGGCATATAGAACACATCATAGCACTGAAACAGCGCTGCTCAAGGTGCACAATGATATTCTTCTGGCACTCAATGATCAGAAACAAGTGGTCTTATTATTACTTGATTTGTCTGCAGCCTTTGACACAATAAAAAAAAATCGTTTCGGTATAGATGGTATTGCATTGGCATGGTTCAAATCATACCTGACTGAGCGTGAACAATCAGTCTCAATAGGCACTCACAAATCACCGTCAACACCACTAACTTGTGGTGTACCACAAGGTTCTGTACTCGGCCCCATCCTGTTCACTCTCTACACGTCACCAATTGAGGACATAGTCTCTGAGTACG